ATACTCCTCCCGAGGCTTAGGCGGCTGGCGCGGTATGCGCGGTCCACGTTAAGGTGCTGACCCGCGGGTAACTGCGTGCTGACCCCCTCCCCGCCTCGCCGCTGCTGTCATCTGGATGGCCCTGGCTGGCTGGTTCCTGCGCTTGTTCTTCTTGCTCTCCTCCTCCCCGCGCTCACGCTGCCCGCTCGTATTTCTAATCTGTTCGAATGAGGCGTCGATGGGGCCTCCCTAACCCTTTCGGTCCCCTCCTCGTCACGGGACGCGACACAGGCTCGGTGTGTTATCGCCGCGATTTGAGTTTCGCGCCTCGCGCGGGCTGCGCCTGGCATGCGCGCGGGACTGGCGCAGTGCCGCGCTTTGTCTCACGTTGCCACACTTTCCCGGTCAAACTGATCGCTGCTGTGCTACTTGGCGCCACGGATGGGCCTCTCTAGTCTTCTTTTTGTTTTCGAGGGTAAATTTTGCGGGCCTGTTCCATCGGCGCCTATTGGACAGTGGGAAATACGATGGGGAGCGAAGACGCTTAAGGTTCCTTAGAAAAGGGGGACCGCAAGTGTCTGAATGTATTTTAGTGCTTTACCGAAAGAGGTTATGTGTTTACCTGTCATTTTTCACAATATTTTTCTTTGGTGAATTTAAATAATGAGGCCAACACTCCTCGAGTCTTTGATGAGCCTTAATTGGCAATGGCTGCTTAAGACCAGAGAGGGGGTTAATTGCAAATGCCTTATTATTTAATTTTTTGTTAGTCAAACATAAGATTCCTGCTTCTATCATACTGTTTAATGGTACGAAGAAAAATGTTTACTAGAGGAAGAGGTCTGAAGCCTCTTAAAAACAAACCAATCAAATTTAACCCTTTTAACACTTAATTAAGTAATGGTACGACCTATCAGGTCAACATACCTGTAAAATACCTGTAAAGCAGTTTCTCTTGGTCTTGAAGCAGGGAATCGAGAAATTACTTTTCTGTAGACAAGTTCTTTTCAGTAAAAATCTTATTTAAGTAGATCCACTAATTTCTTTTCCTTTCGTTTACAGTAACAAAGAAGACTTTTGAGGTGTCCACTTCCCAGTGCCATGGCTTGTCAGTGTTGTCACGTTAAGAGACCCTAGTAAGTATTTTACTTTTTACGAATTACTTAAGCTTAAATGAAAGCTTTTTTAGACTGCTTCCCGCTCTGTTCAGTAAGAGAGTTAAGCATATCATAATGTTGTCAACTCATTCTTCTCTGGAATGTTGTTGGCAACTTAAGTCTCAGCTTTTACTGTAGTATTAAAGTAAAGTTGATTGCCAAACCTTGGGCACATCTTGCTGCACATATCATTGCTGAAAGCTATTATCCTAGACATACCTCTGCTGCTGCAGTTGAGCATATTTTCTTATGCTGTGATGCTGTTTGTGTAGGTGGGGACCGGACGGGCCATGGATGCAACCGCAGGGGACCATGTGGAGGGAAACGCTCCTCCTGAGATTTTCTCCACGGTCACGTTACCTGTGTCTGCAAATGAGCTTGCGCTGCAAGCACTAGCAAGCCCGCTGGTTGCCCTGCCTGCCAGCCCAACTTCAAGTGTCCCTCATGCAGCAGAGCCCAAGGGTGGTGGAGAAGTTAGTGTGACAACAGAATGTAAAGGTGTGCTGGATACTATTGTTTCAGAGACAAATGGAGCAGAAAAGATCATAGACCCCAGCCTTGAGAAAGGTCAGCATCTGTCTATTACAAAGGACAGTTCCAGGAACAACAACAGGCCATCTTTGTCAGGAGCTACTTTGGTAAGGCAAGAAGAAACTGAGCTCTGTTATAGTACAACAGAACAAGACTTAGTCCTTGAAGGCAAACAGAATACAGCGGATCTAATAATTGTTGCTGAGCCATCAACATCAACTAGTATAAACTGCTCCTCTAGTAAATTGAGAGATAATGCTACTGACAACCTCAACAATCTTGATACTGAAAGATCTTTCAAAAATTCAGATGAAGTATGTTCAAGAGCTACTTCTGATTCTATTTCTAAAGATAAATTTTTGAATGGTGAATTATGCAAAGAAGCAGATGTACTCACAGAAACTTTTGAAGAGTTAGTACAAAACGGCCATGCATGTGAAGAATCTAATGCAGTTTCTTCAACATTGGATAAAAGTAACTTGTTAGGACTTCACGCCAACTCTCAAAATTTAGAAGAACAAGAAGCCCTAATAGAATCTCATGATCGGTCAGATGGCAGTGATTCAGGTCTAGGCTCTGAATCTGCTGAGGCACTGTCTTCAAACTCTGCTGATGAACTGTGTATAGAGACTACATGTGATACAGAAACATTCTGTGTTGGAAACCATTTTAAAAATAATAATGTTCCTACCGATGGTGTTGAAATACAGATAGGAGATACTTTTACTGTCTCAGATAAAAGATTTGTATCAAATTCTACTGATTCAGAAGTACCAGATCTGTTAAACAAGTCCAAACTTTTGTCTGACTGTGAAAGAAAATCGACTGTTTCAGAGTTTGCAAATGGAGATGATGCAGTGTCCATTTGCATAAGTAGTGTAAACCCTCATCCTTTGAATGATAACGTACATGTTGCCATTACTGAAAACCAGTCTTTTGCTGATGCCTCTCTGAATAAATGTAATCAATTACCACTAGAAAGTCAAGATCAAAGTATTCATGTTCAAAATTACAGCCCAACTGAGAATGCAAATGTTAAATTAGTCAACAAAAGTGATACTTTTCAACCTTTGCTAAGTCTTTATCCCATCCTCAAAAATTGTGCTGCAGATCTGAAAGAAACAGAATATTCTAGTGTTACAGGTAACTGTGATATGTTGCAGTGTGGGACTTCATTTCAAAGTGATGATACTATGGTGTCTACCTCTGTGGACAGCTCTCAGAAGTCATTAGAACCATTGAAAGATTGCAGTAAAATTCATACTGAAGTCATTAAAAATAATTCAGAATTATCCTCATCTAGTAAAAACCTGTCTGAATTTACAGGGGTGACTGAGGATGTGGTAACAGTCTTTGCACAAGGTCAGAATTCATTTGCTTCCAATGGACTTGCTTTGGAATCAAGTGGTAAGAATGTAAACAGAGAAACAGAGGAAAGGATTAACTGTATCTCAACATCTATAAACGTAGCATTGCCAACGGATTGCCTAGCTGGAACTGAAACGTTAAGTGAGGACAATATCCCCACATTTGATGATTTGAGGACGCCACCTGGAGAAACAGATTGTAAAGTTTCTCTGGTTGAAGAAGTAGATGAAGATATTCCCTTGCAAACACCTACAGTGACTTTGGCCCCAATACTTTCTGATTTCTCTCTTAAAACAGTTGATACTGATATTGGGAGACAAGCCACAATGCCTGCTATGGTTTGCGAGGGAGGAGACGGTGTGGATGGGCTAGATTTTCCTCACACTCATGAAAAGACTGAATCTGTTTCTTTACCTATATCTGAAAGTAGCACTAATGAATCATTGGCTGGCCCTAGTCGGAATATGTTAATGTCAGAAGAAAGTACTAATACTTTCAGAAGAAGGAGGAGTACATTAAAAAGGCCAGCAACATCTGTATGTGAAGGTGGAAGCAAGCCGAAAAGGAAAAAGTCAATTGTCTTTGACTCAGTCTCAGTATACTACTTTCCCAGAACCCAAGGCTTCACTTGTGTTCCCTCCCAGGTAAATAAAATCCTAAAAACTTTTCTTGCCTCAAAAATGAAATGAATCTTTGCTTAAAGGTCAATGTAATTAATTAATTATACTTCTGTTATCTATTTAAAAGGGTGGATCGACCCTAGGAATGGCCCAAGAGCACTCTCATATGCATCGCTTCACCATGATGGAACATGCAATAGAACAGCGACGTGCTCATCGCAATATGTTGATGCAACTACGCAGAAGCACAGAGCTTGGTGATGGCTCTAGTTGTCCAACTCCAAGTAGTAGCGGTGGGGGGGCTGCTGACGAATCCAGTGATGACTCTGATTCCGATGAAGAACAAAGTGAAATTTCAGAAGAGGAGATGGATATGGATGGGTATTACTTCCTTCAGGTGAGCCTGACATCAAAAGTTTAGTTAGAGTGAGTAATAATTCTTGAGCAACTGTTACATGAATATAATTGTTGTTCCTGTTTCAACAGCCGGTGCCTACAAGACAACGACGAGCATTGTTAAGAGCTGCTGGAGTTCGAAAGATAGATTCTGTTGAAAAAGATGAATGCCGTGATATAAGATCATCAAGAGAGTTTTGCGGCTGTGGATGTAAAAACTTTTGTGATCCAGAAACCTGTTCATGTTCTCAGGCAGGCATAAAGTGCCAGGTAGGAAAACCTCCTTTTTTTTTAAACTTATTTTAAAATTATTACATTTAGGCTTATTTTTATTTTTTTAGTAGTGTTGCTGTGTGTAGAATTAATCAAAACTTTTGCCACAGGTGGACCGATTAAATTTTCCATGTGGTTGCACCCGAGAGGGCTGTGGGAATACTTCAGGGCGTATTGAATTCAATCCCATGAGAGTAAGAACTCACTTTATCCATACATTAATGCGCCTTGAGCTAGAAAAGAAGCAGCAAAAGGAAGAGGATGAACTCCGGCGACAACAACAATGGACTAACCAGGCCACAAATAGTGTTAGTGAAATTTTGCCAGATGCAAGTTCATCTTCTAGTACTGAATTGGAGTCATGTGGTGATGTAGGTTCCTTTGGTACTATTTCGAACTCAGAACCTTCAGTACAAAGTGACAATCAATATTTTTTGGGTGGTCAGCAAGGGTATAATCAACAATCACTTCAGCAGCAAGGACAGCGAAGAGTGCCAATGTTTGTGTTAAATCAAGGAAATTTTTCATATTCTCAGTCTGGGAACAATTACAATGCAGCTCAAGGAGCTAGTTATTCTGCTGCTGGCTCTTTTAATTATTCTAATAGTCAAGCTTCCCAAGATGTCAATTTTCAGCAACAGCAGCAATTTAGTTTTCAAACTTATCCAAGTACATCCCTTCCATCAATGTCTAACATCACTGAAAATTATAGGAATAATATGTATAGAGAACAGTGTCCTGGAAGGACAGGGGATCAAACTTTTGTAAATGGATCATCATGCCAGGAGCAGCTTGGGCTATATGTTAGTGAACGCCTGCCTCTTCAAAATGCTGATGATGACTCTGCATCGTCTGCAGAAAGCACCAACTTGGGCCAATACACAGCTTTAAATTCTGTATGTACTTTAAGTAACCAATTAGAACCGTACTCCACTATTTTAGGAGGGCGGTGCCAATATGCACCACCTGCAACAGTGTGTGAAGACAGGTCAGCGGAATCAATAGATGCCAGTGCTGATGTGGAAGGCTCACAATCTAGTGATGGTACAACCAGGGAGGCTGCTGCATTGGCAACCCCTTCAGATGACTGTGATGAAAACTTTGGTGAAATAATTAAGAAGTCAATAGTTGAAACGGTATCTGCATGATGCTGTCTCCTTAGTTTTGGATACAGTTTCTAAGTTTTGTCACATTTTTCTAGTTAATGTTTTAGTAATGAAATTGTAATCCTCATATAATAGTTTTATTCTTATTATTCTTCTTATTACTATTTTATTGTTCTTAAGATATTTTTAAACTGTGTGCTGCCATTGACAGTTGTAATTTATTTTATTGTTAGTAGTACTGTATTGCAGTATTAACTAAATATTCTGCATATAGTATCCATTGTACTATGGCTATGGAATGTATTTTAATCAATGTTTTATCTCTTCCAGTAGATGGAACAATATGTGATATTGTAAAATGAAATTTTGTCTGTAAAGCAAATGCTAGAAACCATCTCAAACTAACAATAAATTCTGATGTTATAATTTATTTCAAGAAAACTGTTTTCTTGTTTTGGACCTCTGCTAATAGGGCTCTATCAGCACACAACAAAGCGTTCAAGAGTCAATGCCCCGGTGGCAGAGCTGCATCATGATTATATATGTCCAATCGAAAATGCGAACTTTAGGCGCGTTCGGGGCCTTTATGTGCATTTTAGGCACATTTAAGATTGGACATGTCATGCAGTCATGCAGATCAGTTTTGCTGGTTATGCTACCTGGGAAGTCCGGTCCCAATTCATAGTTTAATAGCCAGGGTGTCGACTGCACGGTGAGTTGACTACTCGCTGGGAAGAAGGCAACCCTCTATTACACCTGAAAAAAATGGCCCCAGTGAGAAATGACAAGTCGAATCGACGTAGAAACGACATCGAAACGATGGAAAACTGGTCGAATCGACGTCGAAACGACATCGTTTCGACATGCATTTCTCAC